CCCCAAAACCCCAAAACCCCTTGATTCTAAATATATATAATCTTAATTTTAAATTATTGTAATTTTCTTTACATTAACTAGTATAAGTAATTATGTATAATTAATTTTGAAATGAATGACTCGTACTCAGAATAAGAATAGGCGTATAACAGAAACTACTATGCTAATGACGTGAGAGGTGATCCCTTAGCAAAATCAAAATTAATAATGGATCAATCATATTCAGAACCAACGTCTCCTCTTCATTAATCTATGACTCTAAGAAAATTGAAGCAAGAGAGTGAAAATTCTAAAAATATTGAGAGATAGGAAAATAAACTACTTAATGTAGTCGGCTCATTAAAACAAAATATCAAAGGGTCAGTAGATCAAAAACACAATAGGTAATAATGTTAATGTTTTATCATGATATAGTCCATTAGGAAGTGGGGCTGAGTAGAACAGCCGTGAGATGTCAAAGAAAAGTAAGACTGACATTTTTAAGCCGAAACAGCAGTATGATGAAGTCTAATAAAATAAAGACAAGCTACTTGGCAATCTCAATAAACTCAATTCAAATCCATTAGAAATTGTTAACCTTAATCCACTTGCTCAAGGAACAAATAATAGAATCAGTTTTATGGGATTGGGAAAATCGAAAGTTCTGGCCAAAGGTTTGAAAGAAAGATTATTAAAATAGATGCAGGAGTAATTGAATCAGAATACGGAAAGATCAAACGATCAATCAGTGAGCAACTAGACTAGCATTACACCAAGATAAAACAGCAATTTTCCTCATTAGTAATCTAACTCTGATAATAGCTAAGAACTTTTATAAACTGAAGACGAAAAAGCTAAATTAAAAAACATAATGTCTTTATTCACAAAATAGACTGAAAATGATAAATAAAATCCCTTAACTTTGAGAAGAGGCACAAGCACAGGAAGATAAGACAATCAGGCTTAATTAACATCTCAAAGCAAAGCAAATCCTTTAGATTCATCTAGGATATTAGGTACTGTAGTGTAGGGAGTAACAGATAGACTGAAAAAAGGAATGACAATTTCAATAGCATAGACCTTCTAGACGAATCCCGAAAAACAATTCCAAGACGAGTATGATAGACATATTTTGGAGAGCTAACTCGAAGCAGAATAAGAAGAACTAAGGAAAAAGGTATAATTATCTACTTAAACTTATTTAGGCTGAACTTGAAAAGGCTGAAAATGATAAAAAGAAAGAAGAATTAGATGTTAGTATAGAGCTTCCTGATGATAAGGAAGAGATAGATGAACTTTTGGAGAACAGGGATTAGTCTGAGGAGGGAACTCTTTTGTAAGATTTAATAAGTTTTATTCAAAAACCATAGTTAGTTAATTTTCTTTGCTTTCTTCATTGCATTCTTTATTCTAGAAATCAGACTAGATTCTAGCACTGGTATGGGAAGATTGATTGGAACAAACATTTTCGATACATATCTAAATGCTACATCTAGAAACACCGTAATGAATGTGAGTAATGAGGCTGAGTTGCAGCAAAGTATATATTTCCTCATTGATGTCCTCTATACTGATGAGCTGTATAACCCTAACGAGTTTTTGGAATTGCATAGTTATAATCACTAGCAAGCCACAGATGATGTAGCTAATGATGATACTACTTCAGATACTTAAAGCACAAATAATAATCCACCTCTCTATGTTGTGATGATTCAGAAATATAACTATTTCGCAGGAATGAGAATTACATCACAATATGCGAATCTTGATTAAACGAATGAAGATTTCCAGGAAGTAACTCCTCTTAGAAGATCTAATTTCTACTCCGATCCAATGTCTACCTATGGAAATTTTAATAAGACAAATCCTCCATTTACTTATTCAGGTGAAGGAGGCTTTAATGATAAAGGAGGGTTTGTTATGTTTTTTAAAGGAAATGAAACTAGAAATCAGTCAATGAATTAATTTACAGAAATGATTTAGAATGGGTGGTTTAAATAAAGTATGGTTTAGACTAATATAGAACTAATTTTTTACAATCAAAATGAAGAAGTCGGGCTTTTGTTTTAGCTATCATATTTTTGGAGTAACACTGGATAAATACTTAATTTGAAGAGATAACTGACATTTCTTCCTGCTAATTATGACAATATTACTCATCCAATAGTCATAATAAAGATGCTATTGTTTAGTGGCTTTTTTATTATGATGATGATTTTATTTTTCAAGACTCTTTTCATAACGGTGAATGCGATAAAGCTGTTTTTTGTTAGAAAATCATTTGATCTAGCTTGGTACACATATATTGATGTGATTGTAGTAGGCCTTTGTGTGACTTAAGCTACTTATTGGTTTTCGATATTTATGAATCAGAGAGATTAATTTTATTTGCCGTTTAAAGATGAGGGGGATTTCAACAAATGGAGTTTATTTGCCTTAAATATGAAGATATTTGTTAGAATATCAGCAATGATAGTGGTTTTAATGACAATTAGGAATTTAAGAGTACTTACCACTTAATTTCCTGCTTTTGGAGTATTATTCGATACTATAAGAAAAGCTAAGGTCGACCTATTCTATTTCTTTATCGTAATAACTAAATTAAAGTTAATAATCACTATTATAGTTTGTATTGATTCTTGGAATGTCTGCTATGTGTGTAAGTATTGGCTTCTTTGGATAGCATGAGGAGAGATTCATGAATGCAAATGCATCCATCATGACTCTGTTTCAAATGATGTTTGGAGAGGTTGAATTCTAGAAAATAAATGCAGCTAATTCTTTCCTTGCTCCTATCTTCTTTATTTTGTTTATTTTAGCTTTCTTCTACATTATAATCAACTTCTTCTCGGTAAATTTAGAGGTAGATGATGCATTTTATAGGCCATTATTATGAGAACTTATGATAACATGAGGCAAAGGAAGTAGCTAGTCACTGAGGCAATGGCTGAGATTGTTGCCTAAGAGGCAAATCAGCACAAAGAAATCTGGTTGAATTTGATATGTTGTAGAATCAAATAGCCAAAATAACTGGCTGAGGACGATGAAGACAATGATGAAGAAAATAGAAATCTCAACTCAAACAACAATGTTGATACTGACTCTGAAGTGAACAACCCATCATTGAGTGCTAAGATTCAGTATAATCTTAACTAAGTACGAAAACTACTTTCAGGATAAAATCAACTCAAGACTCGCGAGTAATTTGAGGAGGAACTCAATAGGACAAAGATAGCCATCTTAAAACGCAAGAGACTCGAGAAAATTAAGAGAAAGTAGCAGTTTACGAATCCTACAGATGTTGAAAGCTTCATAAAACTCAAAGAAAGTGTGATCTACTCCATATTCATTATAGTATACGTTACCATGCTTCTATATTAGACTAATAATAAAACCTCCTAATAAGCAAGTTCTCCCATCAGAAATCTTCTATTCTTTAAGAAATTTGAGCAGCATAAGAAATATCAGGATATGGGGTTAAAAGGAAGCATGATTGGATTTTAATAAATTTCAAATCCAGATGACATCTTTGACTTTGTGGGTGAGATTATTTTTCCTTTCGTATATGCAAATGATACCATTATGCAGCAGAGCAATTTGGGAGTGAGTGAAAGTTACATCAGATTTACTTTTAGATTCATCAATAACACGAAAAATGAAGATTAAAAGACTAACTCAGTTTTCCCAGGTAAACTTAAAACATATGAACTTGGCAAATCTAAACCGAACAGTGATGAAATTTAAATACCTGTATTCACCACGAAAAATGTAAGGACAGATTCAATTTATACTTAACTTATTGAAATAGCAATATATTGACATGGTGTACAACAATAATCGCTAGCCAACTGAGACCTTCATGGGAAATGGGGGGTATCCTATCCTGTTGAGCAATGATACTGAGGATGGTGGGACTCTATTTGATATGCTATATGAAGAGGATTGGATGTACTACGGGGTAGGTTTCTTATAAAATTGATTTTTTATTGTAGCTGTCACAATTGGTAGTAGACTATGTAGTTTATAATCCAAACTATTAGAAATTCATATACAATTACATACTTTTTGAGATTGATGGGTCTGGCTTCGTCAAACCTTATAGTGCTTCATCAGTAAGTTTTATAAAAATGAAGTATAATATATATAGACCTTGTACCTGAATCATTGGGTTTCAGCTAATAGTTTTGTTATCCTTTTAGAATTATTCTATCTAGCCTTTACTTTATACTATTTTCTAAAACTTGTTAGTGCTTTCAAGTAAACATGGCTTGAGGTAGGCCTAGAAATTGATATAAAGTATAAGACTCCTAAAAATGCGAGCAAATGTTATAAGTTCATAACATATCTTGGAATTAATTACAATAATTTAATCAAGAACTCTGCTGTAATACCTTTTACTAATAATTATGTTTAGATCATTATTCTGATGAGGATTATACTAGGGTTCATAATTTTTATTATCAGATAGACATTTAAAACATTGAGAGTATTTTGGAGGTAATCCACAAAGAATTTTTCTTCTTTTAACAATTTACTACAAACATGCCTTTCGATCTGTAGTATTGTTATTTGGTTCCAAATCACGATAAAAAACAATATTTCTGAAGCTGATTTTAAGTCTCATTTGATTGAAAGGGCATCTGGGTTGTCGTTCTTACAAGATGATTACAGACTACTAGCTCACTTTAATATTTTCATTACTTTTATGAGAATCCTTTAATTTTTTACATTCTCAAAGAAACTATCTACTTTCTCAGAAATTATTGCCTCAGCTTGGTATGATATCATATTTTTTGTACTAATGTTTGCTGTCGTAAGATTATTAACTTAATTATCACCTTACTAGATACTATTTGGATATGCAGTAGCAGGTTATTCATTATTTGGCTCTTCAGTATTTGATTTCAGGACAATATTTATGTCAGGTTTCAGACTTTTCAGGATGATTTTCATTGATTTGAACTACACTGAGCTATATTAGACAGACTCTGTAATTTCTGGGCTTTACTTTATCACATACATGGTAATAAATAATTTACTTATTATCTGTTATTAGGTCATTTTTAAAATAGCCTTGTTTAACATGTTTATTGCTATTATTGTCGCTCACTATAATGAGTTTAGAAGACTTTCAATTGAAGAAGAGAATGTTTCATTCTTCTAAGTTATTGCCCTTATACTTAAGAACAATTTATTCAAGGGAAATAATGAAAATGGCAAATGCAAAAAATATTGCAAATGCATTAATTAAGAAAAACTACAATTATGGTTATTTGGTAGTGGTGAGAAGAATAAGATAGGTGATAGCAAAGTTTAGAACAACCTTGATGAGGAAAAGGTTAATTAAGAAAAAGAAGCATCGAATATTGGCCAAATATTAAGAAGATTCAGCAAACCAGAGTACAAGGATAATTAGCTGTCATATGGTATGAAGACCTATTTTGCTGATAGAATATTGGGAAGTGGAACTAATTTGATGAATGGCTAATAGGATGAACAAATGTAGCAAAGATAAGTAAAGAATATTTCAATTTTCAAAAGAATCGAAGAAATTGGATATAATAGCCATGATATGCTTAATTCAAACCTTTGGCTTTACTTTTTGGAGGAGAGTTTATTAAAATTATCATAGAGTAACATTTCACTCTATGATTTGTAAAGTGAAAATACCATCTTTACAGAAAGTTTCGAAAGTATTAATCCAGATCAAATGAGCTCATTTATTAAGGAATTTCTTTCGATCGAGAGAAGTAATTTTAATGAAAGGAAAAAATTCATTTTAAAAAGAACTAGGAATAACATTAAGGCTAAATATGAAATATGGAAGTCATTAGATATAGAGAAAATGATAAGATTTATACATTCTCATGTCTCAGATCCAGGCATAAAACTGATAAGGATACTTAATGGCTTGGCTGATGCTGATACAGATTGGAATACGTAGGAAGAAACAATATAGTAGATTTAGTTTAAATATGTGGTTTGTAGTCAGGTATTCTCTATGAAGTTTAATAGAGTTACTAAGTTCTAGCTTGAACTTTGGAACTATGTATTCGATGTAAATGAAAAGTAAGATTAATGATATAAATAACCTGCTTTTTATAGATATCTACTTTGGTTTGAGCACTTTAATGCGTAGGAGAGAGTTAGATTATGGAATAGTCTTGTGTTTAGTGAGAATTATTTTAACTTTATAGCTCATACTCAAAAATATTAAAGGGAAGATCTAAAATACATTATGGGAAAACTTCAGGAATAAAGTAAATATTTTTTAACTATAAATTAAATTGATAGTCTAAAAAAAAGTTGATGAGTAGTAATTAAAAAGATAGAAAAAGATAGCTCAGGGCAAAACCCAGGTTAATGTGAATCTTACTCCAACAGAAATATAAAAAATAAGAGACTAAATCTATAATTCCAAAACCATGCTTTATATCTGGAATCAGCTTAAGAAAAGGCACTTTCAACTGCCAGAAAAATAAAAACATAAACGTGGCGCTTAAGCTGACTAGGAAGCCGGTTAGAGTAAATAAAAAAGGAAGAGTCATACCTTGTCTAGAAAAGATTATGTAGATATGCTAAAATCAATGTTTAGACTGATGATTGGTGGCCTTTCAAATGATAGGCTCAAAATGATTCAAAGAATGCAGCAAAAAGAAGGATAAAAATAGAAATTCGAAATATATAAGAAATTAAAGGATGAGATATTTGATGAATCTGAATACAGGCTAAGTTTATGGTTACCTCTAAGTAGATAAGAAAAATTAGATATGATACTTCATCAGAGAGTGGAGGAGGAAATGGAGATAATGATATTTATGCTAGATGAGGAGCTAGAACATACTAAGAGTATTAAGAGCAATTAGGAAGTAGATGTTGAAATTGAAAGAGCCTTTGATCAATAGATTTTCAGCAAATATATCCTGTTCGCAAAACTAATGGCCACTAGGAAATCAGTTGAAATGTGCCAGCTAAGATTAAATACCATTAATGATGAAGACGAATCATTGATTTAGTATGCAGGCTATCTTCATTAGAAACTTAAAGATTGTGAAAGTATTTTATTACAACTGAAATAGGAGTTGGCTAAAAAATAGAAAGCTAATGAGAAACTTGAAAAAGAGAGAGATTTAAGAATTTTAGAGAATTAACGCAGAAAACATCATCATTAGAAATTCGACAGTAAAGATAAAGGATCTGAATTTTCAAGATCAATGTACAGAAAAAGACAATCTTTGAGAAGACTAGGAACAAGGTCTATTAAATCAAGAGGGTTTTCCAGCAAAAAAGGAGATAACAAAAAGTTCTCAGATGCCATAAATGATCTTATGGAAGAGTCCTCATCTCTAGAAACAGACTCATAGGTGGAGGATTCCTCCATTGGAGAAGACGATATTGATTATGATGGAGACGGGCTTTATGATGAGGAAGAGGTTCATAAAAGAAGTCAGGATAGTTAAATTTATGAGGAAACCTCGGAGCATCAACACGATGATTAGTACAGCTCATTTGATGTAAGGTAGAGTAGAAACAGCAAAATGGAATAGACATTTTCGGTAAGTGATGTCTAACAAGACATATCATAACATCCAGATTAATATGATGATAGCTATATAAATGTTGATGAAATAAAAATATAGCAAAAGGCTTTGGGGAAAAATAAAAATATATTCAAACGAAAAAATAGATAAGTTGATTAGGATGAACTCCCATCTAAAAATGTGTTGAGACGGAGATTTTGAGATAATATATTATAATAAATAACTAATGAGTAGTTTATTTTTAGAGCATCCCTTAGTTGAAAGTTATTGGTCAGATCTCTTCTCCTCAGGAGAGAGACTCGGGTTTACTGCTTACAACTTAGTATCATCCTACTTAAACTTCATTCTTTCCCAGACTTTCAATACCAATAATAGCTAAGCATTTATAAATTAGTACTTTGTTCAGACTGGAACAGTAAATGCCGTGTAGAAACTGTCAAATCAAGGATTAAACGTAAAGCTCTCAACTTAAGAGTGGGCTTATTTGATATTTGCAGTATTATTAACGGCTTTTACCACCACTGACACAGGCTTAAGTTACTTTGGTATGGTGGCTAATATATTTTACAGTTACATTTATCTGAGAGATCCAAACAGCTACAACTCATCCAACAAATTCGATGCGTATCTCCCTAAAATCTTGCTTGGATTTAAATAGTATACTTCAGGAAGTATGTATGCAATGATTGGCTTTCTTGCTGCTGCCTCTATTTCAGCTCTGTTCATGAATGTTCCAATTCTCATAATTTTAATTGCCATATAACTCTTGCCAAGATTCCTTTATCATTATATTGTTGGCTAGATCGCTGCTAATTTCGCTTTATTATATGCTGTTGAATAGCTGATTTGAATAATTTAAATTGCTCATCACCTTGATTTCCTTAATGATTTTAACATATACTTTATTGAATGTTTTTCAAACTAATTTGTTCTATCAGCATTTAAGGGGTTTTGGGGTTTTGGGG